TTGTTGCGGATTGTTATACCGTTAGGGGATTTCGAAGGAGCTAAGATCTAGCCGGCCAGCAACACAGACATGTTCCGCAACGGCGGCGGTTGTCTTTGTATCAACTACTGGGTTGGCAAAGGAGCCATCGACTCATCATAGAGAGGAACCAAAGGTAGGAGAGTTTAGCTACCGAACAAATAGTTCGGGGGTTGAGATGGAGACGACACCGCTGCTGGATGTCGATGATTGAGCCAGGGAAAAGAAAGTGTCTCCCCCCATGCGCCCTCTTGACCCGGGTCCGTTCGGCAGATGCGCACTACATCTTGCAAGTTCCAAACCGTCTGAAACTCTGGATGATGGACGGGGCAAGCGGGAGCGGGAACGTCTAAAAGAGGCTCGTAGGTCCGAAGCACAATCGCTCCATCGGATATCGGACGGAATGTTGCCCGGTTTTGCTCGCGTTGTCTCTCCAACCGATCGATCTGGGGAGTTTGAAAGATGAGAAAGACTTGAGGTTTGCTCAGCGAGGTTTCAGGCATGCAAAGAGGACCAGAAACCTCCCTGCCCCGCCCCTGGCGAGGCGCAACTCAAGCGAGCTGAGGTCCGGCCCCGAAACAGTGGGGCTCTAATCGGAGCGCGGAGGGAACGGCGCAGGTTGCGGATTGATGTGGGCATCATCAGTGACGGTTCATGGTTCACCAAAGTTTTGTAGGTGAGACGATGGGTGGATATTGGTGATACGGCAACGTGAATCGAGTTCCAGAGGAGCGCCTTTTTTTCTCGTTCAGCGCACAGATGACATCCTGTAGTCAGGTGCTGATGCAAGCTTGGAGGAGGATGGACGAGTACTAGTTTTCGGTAGCGCAGCGCCGCGTTGACTCACCAGTCTTGCCGCTTACATGCCTTGCCTCCCGGGGCCCCAGGAGTCTCTGATGACCTACCAAACATAACTTCCGAGGCTTCGACGGGTGCTGGTTGCTGGGCTATCTGGGAGACGGGAGGTATCCGTGGGAATGAGTTGGTGGTTGACTGACGTGATGTGCATTGCATAAGTAAGAAAGATGGGCTCGGTGAGAGAGAAGGAGGGTGAAATTGTCTTGCTCACAGGGCTGCAGAGACTTTCTGCATTCGAAATTATTTCGTCATGACTGCATCGAGCAACAAGGTTCAGAGTTGCCGCTGTGTGGATGAGCATTATTGAATGGTATTTGGCAGCTGTCATGTCGGTTTCTACTGCAGTTTGCACTTCCGTTGTTGGCTCGTTTTTGACAGATATCGCTCATCCTATCATCGCCTGCCCGCCCAGAGCCCATAGGTTGCCCGCTATGCACCTGCAGTAAGACTACAGCGAGACTATGGCCCGGATCGGCATGGCGCTCTGCAAGCAGTTCCTGCTTCCCTGTCCACAAGAACGAACGGGAGAGGACTGTCCTGGAGATTCCCTCCTCTCCCTCTCCCTCGCTGGCTGGCCAAGGTTTGTGCCTTGCCATGGAGCCCCCCGCCTTATGGTGCAGTCGCGAAAGATGTGGCTGCCTTTGCTCAAGTACCTTGCATGGGCTCTCTGCAGACGATCCTTCCTCGCATCGCATTCTACATTTCGCTTCACTGGATAGCCGAGCCCCGTTGCAACCAGCAACCGGCCAACTTGTCTCGGCAACCGCATCAGCAACTGCCATCAGCAACTCTTGGGACAGAGCAGCAAGAATGCGGAAACGACTTTAATAACCTATCGTTACAGATAGCTGAGACGTAGATGGTGACTTTCACCATTCTGACGGAATGTGTGGATCGAGGTTCGGAGACCGAGTGAGTGAGAGACGGGAAAGACTAGGGGAGGACAGCTTACAGGGCTCAGATCGAGGGGCAAGTCAGACCAAGATCAGGCCAGGGCAATTCCCATGTGGTTAGACAGATGCTGATTTGCATGCCTTTACTCCCATTTCCCTCCTCCCCATCCCCATCCCCGAGACATGCCCATTTCGAGCAGGAACATCCTTGAACCAAGCCTATCTTCAGCCTCCCTACTCCTACATAGTACAGAGGGCCTGGAGGGGGGTTCATCGCATATCTCGTCGGCAAAGTGTACGAATAGGTGCACCGTACACGAGCTGCTCTCCCATCGCCGAAGCAACACAGCATTTGACCATAGCCACTAACAGTAGTACATTGGCTCTGTTAGCCGCCGCCCGGATCAAGCATGAACCTCAGCAGACCACCACACCACCCACGACTGTGCCCGTGCCTGTCAAGCCCGTTCATGCCATCTGATTGCGCCATTCCCTTTAGACGGGCCCTCGAAGGTCGTTGGTTCGCCGTATTCTCTAGCTTGGCTCCCCAGGACGACGACGCCGGTTGAAGCTTGTGTGCCGCCATCATCCCGTGTTTGCTCATGTTGAAACCCTAGATAGGCGCTGGCGTCTGTCCGAGGAGAAGAGTATCTTGACAACGACACATCTGGTCACCAAGCAAGATACAGACTGGAGGCAGGGTAAAGAACCCCTTTTGCAGTTGGTATCGTGGGTTGTTTCAGTTGGCACAAGTTGCGCTCTGGCTCGGCGATCAGAGCCTACAGAGTATCTTAGTCACAACCTCTGCTATCTGTACTTACCTTACCTATCACCCAGCGCTACAGCTGTCAGCATAGGTGCCCCAGGACACCCTTCTGGCCTCCCTGTCGAGCCACGTTGGCCTATCTATTTTCCATGGCGTTGGCCGAGTTTCCCCCTCATCGGCCTGCTTCTAGCCTGGAAGCCAACGCCGTTAGGGGGCGTCATGGCGATCTGATCAGACTGGACTCGACACATGTGGCTTTCCCTCTGGTCTTTGTCTTTTGTGGAAGAGAAGCAAGAGAGAGAGAGAGAGAGAGAGAGAGAGAGAAAGAAACAGAATATCTAGGGCAAGGCACGTGTAGTCAGAGATTGTTTCGTTTAGCTAATTGGCCCTATAACCTAATTACGACACAGCAGAGCCCTCAACAGTCTATCCACCGGGAAGCTCCCAGCAACACAGACAGTCAGTCGGAAGAAGCGCCCTGCGACTTTCGCATCTGAGTTTTAATGGTAAATTGTAGGCGAGCAGCGCAGTCTCACCAAGTGCGCTGTGCTCTGCTGGACAGTGCTCCCATCCCGCTATCTTGTCAGGCCTTGCCCAATGAGATATGCTGACTGCTAGGGATACGTACCGTCCATGACCTTAACTCGAGGTACTTACTTCCATTCCCACCCCAGGTTGTTCCTCTCTCTGTGTTTCTGCATCCCTACGGAAATGAATTAAGAAATAAATAAAAAATCGGCCATCTCCAACGAGAGAGAGAGAGAGAGAGAACAGGCCATCTCTGCCTGCCTTAAGGTGTACCTTAGCTTGCGGCTTGCCATCTGCCATCTGCCAACTGCCAATATCTACGTACCCAGTACCTAGCATTGAGGCACAATTGTGTGCCGTCCTGAGGTTACCTTTCCTCACCTGCTTATGCAGTAACTTGCCATTGGTTACTGCATCGGCTGCGGCTGCTGCTAGGTACCTTACCTGCCCATTTTGTTTCCCAGGTGTTGGTGTTCTTCACACTCTATCCTCTCCCTCCCACAAAGTGAACGATTGGTTCCTGGACGCTCCTTAGCACTTCTTCACCTTCTCTCTTCTCCCCCTTCTTGTACTGCCTCTTCTGGATCCTGCCTTCTCCTTAGACCAGGAAGCGCCCTTCGCTGCAGACCAATCTTCGCATCTGCCGTGTTACGATTCTGACGACTAGATTTCCATCTGCTTCTGTAATCACGCTCCCAGGGCTATACAGAGAGTCCCGATACGCTTTCCGCGCTGCACCTCACGGACCTCCCTTTTCACAAACTTCCCCTCGACTCCCAACCTCCCCCAGGCTCGAGTTCCTCCGACACCTTACGCATACAACCCTCTTGCTCACGCCAACTCTTCGTCATTCGGTGTAATCCTTTTTCTCTCCATGAAATTGCCGTCTTGGACCTTCTGTAATGATCAATGATATACGCATCTGACGTCGCCCCCGCCTGATATCTACCTACCTACCTAACATTCACGGACCGACCAATCGTCAGCACTCGCTCTTCGCTTCCCCCGACTCCAAAGCCGCCGATTGCACCCCTGGTCTTCTTTTGGCTGTCCTCTGAACTCCTCGATATCCTCAAACTTGCACAATTCCGTTTGTTAGGGTGGTTCATGTCATGTTCAAGTTAGGGTTGTGTGAACTACAGTAGAATTGCTATGAGTGGGGATCAGCTGGCGTCCAGGCAAGAATTCTACCAAACCCGCCCCGTTCACGTTCGTCTTTCTGTTTCTGCCTCTCGACCAGGTCGCAAAGATTGGCAGGCCGGACAATCTACCAAAATGCCATTGTGCTAACTAGAAACTCTGACTACAGCTTTGGAAACCCAAACGCTCAGCCGCCCACCCCCAAACAGACTCCCACTTCCGCCGTTTTCCCGAGCCCCGTTTTCGAAACTCCCAAGCAGTCCCAGGGTCACTTTGACGACGCTGGCGGTTGGACGCCTCGCTTTGCAGAGGAATACTCCGTCTTTAACACAACCCCAGGCAACCTTCGAGGCTCTCCGGGTTCCTTTCCCGACTTTTCCACAGGTGCTACTACGTTCCCTGCTTCGGCAAGCCTCAAGAGGCCACTGTCCGCCGAGAGCCTCGCTGCTCAGATAGCAACACATGCCAACCACTTCTCTCCCAACACGAACCTACCTCTACCCCCGGTCACCGCAGCTCGACGACTGCCCTCTTCTCCCAGGCCCCCGATCGAACAAGCAGACTTTTCCAGCCAGGAAGGCGGTTCGGCCAGTCCAGAGCAGGCGTCACAAGACAACATCGTAAAAAGTTCACAAGGAAGGGAGAGCGTGGCGGATTTGAACGGGCAAACGGCAACTCCTCCCCCATCCTCCCACAAGGGTGGCCGGAAGCTTGCTCCTAAGCTACAGGACGACAACATGCAGAATGACCATGGCTACGGCCAGCCTGACTTTTCTGGAAACCCACAACATCCCAACATGGCGGCCTTTGTGACTGCTACCGACATGTTCGGATATCCCATGTCGGCTCCGGCAAACGCTTCCGCAAGCTTCTGGGACCCGAGTGCCGACATGTCGGGCATGGAAATCGACTTCTCCTTTGGTCCTAATGTCTTTCAAACTTCGGGACATCGCCATATGCCTTCCTTTGACGCCTCGCAAATGTTTCAAGAGTCTGCTGCCTTGCCGCCGTCAGGTAGCCAAGAGACTGCCCAGCCCATCAAACGGACACGGCCCCTGGCTCCCAAACCTGTCATGAACAATGTCCAGTCCAGCTCGGCAGATATCTCCATGGTGACGAACTCGTTCTCAACCCCAATGGACGACCCCTTCGGTATTATGAGTCCCGGCGGAGTCGATCCTGGTGTCTTATTCGGTCGACCGCTATCTGCAAACATGGGTGCGAACATTCCCGTCACACAAGGCTCGGCACAGTTTGCCCTTGCAGCGGCTGCTGAATCACAATCGAGAGCGCCTATGCACGGCGATATTCGCCGCTCCCTCAGTACCAAAGAGCTGGGTCAAGGAAGGCCATCCGGTCATGCTTCTATAAGTTCTCCGGTCAAATTGAATGGGAGGCTCAACGGATTGCAACGGAGTGCCAGTGAGAATCGTGGAAGACGCGGACTGGCAAAGCCGTCGTTACCCAAGCTCGCTCCTGCCATACAGCCGAGGTCCCAGGTGGCCAATGGTCCCGTTGCCGGCCCAAGTAGGCCACCGAGCCGCCCGTCTGGCAGAATCTCGCCCCTGAAACAGCAGCACTCTCGCCTCTCAAGCTTGACGTCGATACCTGAGTCGGCACCTCCGCGACCTCGCACGGCTGTGAAGTTCACGATCGACTCGAGAGGCAGGGCGCGGGCCGAGACCACCATGGTGATGGATGAGCCGCGACTGGAGGAGGTACGGAGACTACCGGTGACACGGGAAATGCCGCGCAGGGAGAAGAGCTGGGAATCCGAGGACGACGACTCTTCGACAGACGACGAACCAATCATTATTCCCAGCCGAAATACCTCGTTCGCATTACCAGATCCTCGTCGACCGTCGTCAGCCTCCATGTTCCATTCGTCTCGAAGGAGCGTTAGTGAACACAGCTCGAGTAGCTTGGGCGCGTCGGTTTCGCAGCACGAGGCTGAGAGCGAGGCGGAAACCGTGATGAACGAGGCACAGGGAAAGGGGGGTGACGCAGCAAGCGAGCTGCGGAAGCTTGTTGAGAGCCGCCAAAAGCGTGGACATCAGGCACCTGGCAGTCAACGATCACAGCGATATACGTCGGGCAGTTTCCAGGATCACCTCGGGGGTATAATGTCTCCGACGGGTTTCACGGAGGCCAGCCTACCCTCGCCGACGAAAGCGACGTACAACGTTCGATGCGTCTGCAGGAACAGCACCGATAGACAGGGAGAGTACATGGTCCAATGGTATGACACCGTCCCCAGTCTGGCTCGTCAAGATCGCCAGCCATCACCTATGATGCTTCACTAGTGCTAACATTCCACAAGTGAGTCCTGCGAAATGTGGCTTCATGGATCGTGCATCAACATATCCAAGCGAACACTTCCATCTGTGTACATATGTGCCTTCTGTTCAAACACACCCAACATGCGAGGCGGTCGACTCCGGGGTAATGGCCCTGCACTGGGACCGCCCGGGGCGAGCCCGTTAGCCCGCAAATCATTCAGGTAATACGTGAGTGCATTTTGAGCACGACGATAATGACCGGCCCCGAAAAGTCGATGACGGCACGCGAGGAAAAGAAAAGGTTTAGAAAGAGAAACGGGGCAATCCGTCATCACGTCATCTTGGATATTGATGAGTATATATAATTCCCGAGTACATACCTTGCGGTTTAATGATGAATAACAAACGAGAGGATGCTAAGAAAAGACAATACTGAAGCTATCATGAGATGACTTGAATTTCGCAGAAAGTGACCAAAGAAGCGAGCTGAAGATGGATCTACCGACCTTCGGAATTCTCAGTGAAAATTTTAGACCCCGGACCTCGGCGGCATCGCTGGCTTTATGTAGACTAGCGATGCTGTCGTTGCTGAGCTGACCAAATTTCTCGAGGCATCAGTGAGGGCGTGGGTCACTCGAATGAATGGTTGGTTTACATTTCACACGGCATGGTCTGAGAGGACCATCCCACACGCCAACGCGGCATAATCTTCTCTGTTGGATTTTGCTCCTTCGTTATTACAATCTGCATTCGAAGAAGAGTGCCATCCTGATGTGACTTCTGCCCGCCATGACCGTCCTAAAGTATCTTTGAGCTTGATCCAACACAGCTCCCTCAAAGAGACCATCAACAGAAGGAAGTATTGATGTGCGTGTATCCGTACGCCTGGAGCACAAGTCAGCCGGTCGTACCGTCGAATGTCAAAATTTTGGAGGACCATCCTACCTTTTTCCATCCAGGAATCGAGAGGTAGGCTATACCATTTTGAAAGTCAGCACGTCCATGCACCTTTACACATCCCTACAAGACTTCTACATCAAACACTGGGAGGAGAAGAAGAAGAAGAAGGAGAAGAAAACTCACCACCCTCCATGAATCCATCCCCATTCCTGCCCCCACAACCCCTGGCAGCCCACTCGACGGCATCAACCCACTCCTGCACAACACACGGGTTCCCGCCGTTCCTCCCGTTGCCCACGTCCCCGCTACCCGCATACGAGCACATCTACGCCACCGCATCGCCCCAATGGCCGTAGATTTTCTCGCGGTAGCCGAGACGTTTGCCGTTGAGGGCGGCGCACTGTGCTGCGAAGGCGATGCGGGCGCCGTTGGGGTGGGAGGTGAAGGCGGCGGTGGTGATCCAGGGGCTATCGGAGCAGAGCGGTTTGGTGTCGGAGGGCCAGGATGTTGTGTCGCGGCGGGGGAAGGGGAGGTGTGGTGGTATGCTGTTTGGGTTTGGGATCGAGGAAATGTCGATATCGGGAATGTTGAAGATTCGGGTGTGGATTTCTTCGCCTTTTGGGGCGAGGGTCACGATGTAGGTTCCTTGTTGGGAGCCGTGGGGCACGAGAGTTGAGAGGGTTGGTCCGGCTGATGCTATGAGGATGATTAGGTGGTGGAAGGGCGTGGAGATCATATTTGCTTGCTGTTGATGGTCAGGGGATAAGAAGTGCGAGATGGAGAGTTCTCGGTGATGTGAAGCCGCATCAGATTGTGAGAATATCCAGCCAGAAGGGGTTTTGCTTATAATTCATTGACTTCATGTTCGTTGCCTTTACCCGAAATCTGTGTTTCGTCACATCCGTTCCGTATCTGGCAGTTACTCGTCCTCAAATCGCGATGGACCGATCCTGCTGTTTAAGTTGCGGATGTTCCCTACCGCCGTAACGGTTGCCAATCATAACGATAGGTATGGTAGTTGTGAAACCAACGATAGATGGCACCAAGTGCTCACTCGTACCATATATGGTCACGAGGTTAGACTCGAGGAACCTGATCGAAGATGCAGCCCGGCACCGATGAACACTGAATGAACGAGTGGCACAGGTAGAACGAAGAAAACGAACGATTTCTCGTTGTACATTAATCGGCTGTCTCACTCTCGTCCTACAACCAAGATTGTAGGTTGTATCTCTTTGGTCTATTTCTTTCCTCTCCAGTTTGTCCCATGTGTCGTAATCGTAAAACGCCCCTCTCATCTATCATCATCCCCTCTTCACCAAACAGGCGACAGTCGTCGGTGACACGTTCAACATGGAGATTAAGTCCTCGTGCTCGTGGTCGTAGACCAGAGCATTGCACCTGATGTTGAACTTATTCTGCATCGAGTCGTCTACGATGATGGTCTCCTCATCCTCACCGTCTTTGCCGCCGGATCTCACGGAGATGTGCCACTCTGCTGGGTCGCGGTGCCGCGGCAGTAACCTCACCGCGTGGAAGTTTGTCTGTTGTAATGAAGATACCTGGACGAGCACTTCGCGGTCCCAGGCTTGGTTGTCTGTTACTTCACGACCCTAGAAAGAAGTTTGTGGTGTCAAATCATGCAATGATGAGGTAGGAGCGGTGTAGACGAAAGGGGTATGGGAGCTTGAGCACAAAACAGACACCAACTTGGCGCCAGGCGAAGAACAGGGTAATATAAATACTAAGCATAAATAGCCCATAGGGGAGAAATTACATTTGATGACGTTGGTGAAGAACCGTCACAGTCTGATTTTGACTTTGAATGAGCTTCATTTTGCAGACGGCGAGTACCGCGCCCTGAAGGGTTCAGCCTCCAATCTTCGGAATGCATGACATCGACCGTCTGGAAGTAAATCTTCATCTTTATGGAGCGAGTTGGCGGACGAATGGGGGTATCGCGGAGCTTTTGTGGATTAGATGCTGGAAAAGGAGATACACACACGATGTTGGTTCACAACTTCATCAGGGGCTCACCGGGGCAGTCGGCGGCTTTAAGTCCCCACAACGAAGCTCATCCCGCCGGAGGTGGGTAAGTCCCGTTGGGTCAACAGATTCTCGACGCTACCCGTATATCGGTACCGGCTTGCGGGGTGCGATGCGGCGAGGCGTCGTTCTGCAGCCCCGGCGCACCATCCTTTAGGTCTTACCGTCTTTAGCCAAAGCATTACCTTTGAATGGCGGTAGACCGTGGACCGTGTGCCGTGGACAGAATACCCCACTTGCCTCGGTCTGAACCGCGGCAAGGAATTTGGCACGAAACTCGGCCGTACAACAACATGTTGCTTGATATATTCGTCCGGACGGTATCTCACGTTCTTGATACGCATCGCAAACTGGGCCATGCGGATGGATGGTTAGACCGAAGGCCCCGCCGATTTGTAGATCTAGAACGTCAAACCGCGTCTGGCGGATACACCGTTCCAAGAACACTACGTAATGACCGACAATGAGAGAGCTACTAGGTGTGGATCGTTGACATACACTCATCTCGGACTTTGAAGCGACTGTGAGCACTTGCTTCTCAAAACGTTGAGCGCCTTCTAAGCTGTAGAAGCTGCGGAAAACATATCCCGCCGTGACCTGTCAAATGGCAAGAGACACTCACTGCTGGAGGTATGCGTCGACACATCTTCACCCACTTGCAGCCGGTGGGATGGTGAAACGAACATGACCAATTGGCAAACAATCGCCTCTTGAAATGGAGGTTCTCCAATTCAGAGCCTCGGCCGGGTACCGTCCAATGTTTGTATAAGTAAAGATTGAGTGTGTCCAATCGGCAATGGATTTCCAGTAGTCAGTAGGTCAAGTCAACATTTGGAGAACTTCAATCACGCAAACCACTCATACAAACAACGCGATGTCTCAGGCCCTCCCTCTTCAGAGCAAAGACATCTTCCGCAACTTGCCAACTTTCCCATCGGATATCACAGACTTGACAGCCCTCATCACCGGCGCCAATGGCATCAGCGGGTTTCACACTCTCAGAGTCCTCGTCGACGCACCACAGCGATGGAAGAAAGTCTGGATAGTGTCGAGAAGCCCCCTCTCAGAGAAGATGATGAGCTTCTTCTCTGCCGAGCAGCAAGCGCGCATCGAACACATCTCGCTCGACTTCCTGTCGGACGCGGACGTCATCGCGCAGGGTTTAAAAGAGCGTCAAGTCACGGCAGACTATGTCTTTTTCTATTCCTACCTCCAGCCCAAACCTGAGCCTGGAGCCGCGGCTTGGTCCAACGCTGAAGCTCTCGTCAAAGTCAACTGTAAGTCCATTCAAGCCCTTTTTTCTTTCCCAAGGAGAAAGATTGCGCTTCTTAACACCCTTTGCCAGCGGCCTTGCTCCGAAACTTCCTAGGCGGACTCGAAAAGTCCTCCATCCGCCCCAAACGCATTGTCCTACAGACCGGCGCCAAAAACTACGGCGGCCACATCGGCCAGGCCGTCTCGCCCTTTGTAGAATCAGCGCAGCGCGTGACCAGCGAGCCAAACTTCTACTACCCGCAGGAAGACGCCCTCTTTGACCACTGCGCCAGGACGGGCGCAAAATGGAACGTTTTCCGCCCTTCCTGGATCATCGGCGCCGTGGAGAACGCGCAGATGAATGCGTTTTACGGTCTCGGCGTCTACGCCGCCGTGCAGGCTCACCTCGGCAGGCCGCTCGAGTTCCCCGGCACGATGGCAGCTTGGCTCAAGGACCACGCGCACTCGCATGCTCACCTTACCGGGTACTTATCCGAGTGGGCTGTTTTGAATGAGCATTGCGGGAATGAGGCGTTCAACTCGAGTGATCAGGGATCGTTTAGCTATGCATTGTTCTGGCCTGAGCTTGCGAAATGGTTTGGTATCTCGAAAATCGGGAGACCTGAGTTGGACGAGTCCAAGATGCAGACGATTTCCATGCCTGGCCAGCCGCCTATCGGGTACGTGTCTCTGATTGTTGCGAGGATGAAGCCCTTGGCTGACTTTTTTCCGTGTCTAGTTTTGGCCCCCGTGGAAGCATGAAGTTCTCCTGGTCCTTCGTCGCCTGGGCCAAGGAGCCCGAGAATCACGAAGCCTGGAAGGAGATTATGAAGAAGCATAACCTGCTGAATGATCCTTTCGAGGACCCCGAGGGCCAGTTCATGTTCACGGACGTCGCTGTGCTGCCCGATGCCTACGGCCGCCTTAGCCCGAATAAGGCCCGCGTAATGGGTTGGAACGGATTCGTTGACACGGCGGAGGGAATCTTTGCGACGTACCGCGAGTTTGGCAAGCTTGGAATGCTGCCGCCGATGGCTGTGGACGAGGCTCGACCGTTGATCTAAGAGACGGTGGGGTGTGCTGTCGATTGTCACGCAGCTCGAGGGGTATAGTAGTGTGTGAAGCAAACAAAATGGATGGAGCGGGTTGATGAACACAGCAAAAGTTTTATCTGGACTATTTAGTATGGGAATGGTGTTCGTGAATGCTTGCTTTTTTGTTTGCTTCGCGATGAGAAAACGGACAGAGAATGTGGAGTCCGACAAGACACCCCCAACGGCCTTGGAACATATTGGAGAAATCTCAACTAAGTTTGATTTAACATGGCTATTTTCTATCAAACCCAATTATGTTATGAATGTGGCCGGAGGGGCAATGAGAGATAATAAAGGCCCCGACAGAATGCAACCTAGGGCCTGCAAGACATGAACCTATTTCTAGACAGGGTTGGTTGGGACGGCGCCCGCGAGAACTTGCAGATTGAAGAGAACTCCGACAGAGATGGAAGCAACTCCTGTGGAGCTCGCCGGCGTCGAAGGGGTGCCAGATGAAGTAGGAGATCGACTGGTAGACGGAGTGGTGGACGGACCAGGGAAGGCTAGACCGATGGACGGGTCGTAGACTCCCCTTGTATCGGAAGTTAACGTAGGCGAGACGACAACGGAAGAGGATGACGACGACGGAGGGAGAGTGGTGAGAGAGCTGGTCAAAGAGCTGGAAGTTGAAATTAGGACAGCTGAGGAATTGCTTGGTAGGATAGAAGCCGAGATTGTGGGCACACTGCTCGAGGGGAGAGAGAGCAAGGAGGTGCTGCTGCTGCTGCTGCTGATGCCGCCGAGAGTGCTGCTGATGCTGAGAAGGCTCGTGGCCAGGCTACTCAGAGATGTGCTGCTGGAAGACGACGTTGTCAAGCTGCTGGTCAAGGAATTTCCCGAAAAGCTGGCCGAAGAGGTTCCAGAGCTGACCGTTGACGAGCTTCCTAGGCTGCCGGTGGACGAGCTAGTGCTACTAGCAGATGCTGTGCTGCCGGTGTCTGCAGTAGATGAGCTGAAGCTGGATGTTGTGGGCGTAGCAGTGGTGCTTCCGCCGGAGCTTGAACTGCTTGAGCTTGAGGAAGTAGGACTGTCTGTGCTAGACGAAGCCGTGTCGGTGCTAGAGGATGAAGAGCTTGTTATTGTCGGTGCGTCGGTAGATGAAGACGAGGTAGAAGAGGATGTTGTTAGGATTAAGGTAGTAGAAGAATCAGTCGAAGTAGAAGAGTCGGTAGAAGTGGAGGAGGTAGAAGAGGACGTCGTAAGAGTAGGCATGGTGGAGGATGGTGAAGAAGACGAAGTTGAAGTGTGACCCGAATGCTCGGTATCACACAGCAAGACAGAACCGTTGAGTAATGTATGTCGAGGTACAAGCATAGCTACTTTCAACGGGCCGTTTTCAAAACCACCAGAAAGAGATGGAGTAATGATTTCTCAAACTTTTGATCAAGCACAGTTCATTTGACAAGATCAGGACCCCTTGGAATTTCCGCATGAGATGATGGAGATCAACTTGAGCAATGGAGCTGTCACGTTTGCGGATCTGAGAGAGTTCTACGGGCCGGGGCGACATGTGGTTTTGTCCCTCTTCGGCCCGGAGATTAAATGAACTACGGATACAGGCTTCGGTATCAGAAGCGTTTTCTCTAATGAAATCATTTTGTTGCATTCCTCGGCTGATGGGTGGCGAGACAGCCGTCGGGAAGCCGACATTTGGTTTTACGTGCCAGCGAAGCCCTAGGCCAATGGTCAACGTCATGATACAGAAAACTAACGCGCACCACAGATTTCCAGCTATGGATCTTCAGAGTTGCTGAGGGATAGGTCTATAAAGAAGAATGCTTGCTTGCTAGATACCTACTTAAGCTTAAAGGATCAAGCGCCATTCCAGATACGAGTCTTAAAACCCGACACAAGCCAAAGTGGATGTAGCAAATACAGGCAGCAAAACGATAATTGACCGCCGCAAATGAAAATTTATCTTAAGATAGTTCAAGAATAATGAAGCTTTCGTTCGAACTAGCATTCCAATCCTAGACTTCTTTCATCCCGCGGAGCCGGATCAAGGGGGCCGGAGGCGAACGGTCGAGAGACCCGCTTTTCCCGGTGTGAGGGGCGGAGGCGGCATTTCCCCAACCGGGGACTAGTCCGAGGGAGCACTGCGAACTGAACTCGTAACGAGTGAGTAGCAACATGTCGCCGTGACTCTAGGGCTAGAACAAAGCCTTAAATTCGAATGCTTAGCTCATGATTTTTCGATTCTCATGGCCTCGAAATCAAGTCGCGCCACGGACTTCGACTCAGAAATTTCGCCTGCAGAGTGATTATTCAGCGATGAGCCAATTTCTAAGCTTGAGCTTGAGCGAAAAGGAGTCTGCTTGAGATTTATCCACTGGGAATACCCACTTCACTGTTATCTGGTTTCTTTTGTATATATTCACACGGACAGTCACATCCTAAATGCTTTAGCCAATCCTTTAGTCAAGATGAAGGTTCGGGGGTCAACGGTGATTGAATCCGGGTTTAGATGTGAATTAACCTATAGGTCCATCGTAATGCTCCTACACTTTCCTGGCGTATGACGCATCAAAGAGATTACAACGACTGTCGATCACATTTGAATCTGTCATAGATACTCCGTCCCCGACAATACCACCCAAGTTTCCTAGGTCCATCGCACCAGGCTTGCCAGAAAATTGCGTCCACGCAGGTACTCCGGGCCCATTGGCCGGGTTCTTGGCAAAATTGGCCCACGCTGTCTGCATGAACTTGCTCAAGGCAAGAGCTTGATTAGGCGTCGCCGGCGGCGGTGGGAGATTGCCAAAGACGAAGCTGATCTCTGAGCCGTGTACCGGACGAGACAAGATACCTCCGGGTGTTGGTGGGAATGAGGTGGAGTTGAAGAGGTATCTCCAAGTCGGCACCCCGGCTTGGGCCGAGAGACGAGCTTCATGTGCAATGCTGCAGCTCCAATCCAAGTCCGTGGCGAACTGTGTGATTGCATCCTTGGGAGTCGGGAAAGGCATCCCGGCTCCGACTGGATATCCGGCAGTCACAGTCTTTTGCAGCGCATCATCGCCGGGGAATGTCGCAGCGACAAAGGCATCCAATGCAGTCGGTGGCTGACCCATGGTGAAGATGTCGGCTTCTCTAAGATTCGTTCCTATCATCATGGGTATCTTAGAAACCTTGCCGGAAGCCCGTGTAGCATCAGGTGAGGTCGGTACGTTTGCGTCTCCGTCGGCTACAGGTGGGAAGTTGAAAGGACCTTTCGAGAGTACGGACACAAGGGCGTCGACCGGGGCGGCTCTAACGCAATCAAGCGCCTTTTGACTGCCGCAATTAAGCGAAGCTGCAAGAGTTTGAAAGGGGGTCGTCATGTTTGGTCTGCCCAAGAGGCCGGTCATGAGTCCGACGATATCTCCGCCTGCCTGGGGTCCTGTTACGAGATATGCGGTTCCAGACTCGGTGATTACCGCACGAAACGGAGGCTGGGCACCGCTTGTGAGCAGTAAGAGATCGACTGATGAGCCGCCAGCTGACTCTCCGAATAAAGTCACCTTATTTGGGTCGCCACCGAAGGCTTTAATATTACGCTGAACCCATTGAAGCGCTAATTTCTGGTCCATCAGACCAACGTTGCGCATTTGTGGAGGTATGCCTTCGACATCGCCTGGGAATCCGAAGACTGCAGTCAAAGTGATCAGCAACGCCTAATTCCAGAGGCAGAGAGATGATTTTTCCAAGTGATCGATGAATACTCACCACTCGTTCGGTAGTTTGGCGTCACAACGATCACGTCTTGATTCTGTGCAAAGCTCGAGCCATCGTACATAGGTGTATTGGCAGATCCAAACTGGAAGCCTCCACCATAGTACCATACCATGACAGTTCTTCCTTCGGCGGGCGGTGGAGAAGAAGGTGCGAAGACATTGAGGAATAAGCAATCTTCGCTTTCCGGACCGGACGGCATCATGGCAGCAATCGCAGCTTTTGGAAGTCAATGCCACGATCAACAGGAGTGAAGCCCCAGACGAGCTCCGATGTGTAGTAGGGGACTTTCACTCACCAGGTATAGCTTGAACACAGGATGGAGCGAAGGCTGTCGCGTTCATTACGTCGTTGTGAGGCGCCATCGAAGCAGCCACCGGCGGTGCAAAGCGTTGTGGTGGTGCCGCATACCGAACGCCCAAGAATTTGTTGACGCCATTCGCTGTCAAACCAGAGTATGATCCATCGTCCAGCTTGACTTGTACTGGTTGTTGCGCATTCACAAGTGTAAGTAAAGTGAGCAAAGTGATGCCGATAGTCGTCGATCGAGGAGACCAGCCCCTTCGTGAAAACTCCATAATTGGCTTATTAGTACGTAACACGGCCGAGATTACGAGATTAAAAGAGAGTATATTGTCGTCAATATTCGTTTAGATCCCACAGTATGTCACTGTCTTACGAGACCTGGGCTTAGTTCCTTTATGTCTTCGACCCTCAGCAGGGGTTAACTTGGATCTCTCGGCTTTTCCGTAGTCTTTCCATATTCCGACTATCTACTAGATGCAACTTGCTACTGTGTAGGTTATTTTCCTTAAGACCCAGGCGTTTGGAGAGAAAATAAGCTCGGTGGAGAAGCCGCAAGGAAGACCCGAGAGCTTGGATTCGGCCCATTATCTTATTGGAGACAATGGACGGACGAAACATCAAGTGGCACGGTGAGCGGATGTACCGGTGGGATAAACATTTTTGTTCATATTCATAGGAAGTCTATCAGTCGCGTCCACCCCGCACGTGTCGTTTCACACCTTTGCTAGGTGGACGGCCGTCAAAATGGGTAATGGCGAACGACGGCTATAATGCGTTGTGCTACATTTCACCAGCAATGTCCAAAGGTTGAAATGATTGCTAAACGGAAGACCCGGCTCTTACAAGACTAGTAGTAAGCATTGGGTAATGAAACATATTCAGCCGCAGAAAACGAGCAATGAATTTGAGAAGTGGAAACGGGAAGGAGAGTTCCGAGAGTCCCATGGTGAGTAAACCAAGGCGCTCGCTACCTGTAGACGGCGATCAGTGGCCATCGTCAATCTTTGCTCTGGCAATGAGAGTAAGCCGAGTGTCAGCCTTACTTGTGTTGCATGGGATAAAAGATGCCAGTAACCCTATAAAAAGAGAGGCATTGCCTTAGAACAAGCAATATGTTGGGCGCTTTTCTCTTTCCTCGCCCTCATTATGTTGCTAGTTAAGGTGAATCGTTCACCCGGCCCGAGCGAGAGTCCGGGGTTTCTGCGCCACCAGCTAGATCTGTCACATCAATCCATTCGTTCTGGGTTGGCGCGATTAATTCTGCGCGATAGCATCGTCAGAACGCGAGCTTTCCATTGCCCCGAGTGAATGGCTCACCCGCGCCTCGACGGCCCACGCGAAAGCCAACGTGCGGATTCTTGAGCTACCTAGAAGTAATTTACCTATCATAAGAAAAAGAGGTGGTGCACGTATAAGCACGCCATAAGAAATGAACAATTTTGTTCGCACTGGTGTCATGATTGGATCAAGTACTTACTACGCAAGTGTCTCGGGCGCACCCCCGGTCTCCGGGGGTGCGGTGCCAAATCTCACCGGCCGGTCGGCCCCACAAACCCGGCATGTAACCCCGCTTTGGGTACTGCTGAGAATGTTACTGCCCCGATATGGCCAACTCCCCAAGGCCTTATGGCCATCGAGATTCGTCGCGATATTCAGAAACTACGCGTTGGGGAAGGTAACGTACGTAGCAGGGAATGGAAAGTACGGCCGGAACAGTTCTGAGGCAAGGAGCACGAAACAAGAACTAAACAACGACGGTTGCCGTAATGCCTAGTGGTGCTGCCAACACCCACTCCTCATCGTAGCCGGTGAGGAGATGAACCCGGCGAATTGAAAGCATCGCGCGACTTTGTTTTCTCCTGGCAAAGAGTAGCACGGACGGAGGCGTTGCACATCGAGGTTTCTTCCTGTTCTTTCACGTTCGTGTCGGAATAAAGGGTGTAAGCTGACCACATTATCTCCGAGTGGATTGCCCTACGCCAAGGCCGCCAACCGAAGCTCATCAGTTCTTTTAAGCTTCACCACTCCGCCAAGGACCGTCTTTGACTCCGCCAAGTAACGCTCAGTAGAAAATTGCAGGCTGTGCTGGTGAGCAGCGGGTCGACAATGGGTTTAGCCTCACATGATCGGAACCCTGCTAACTTATCGCAGATGAAATACTCACCATAGTCTGGTATTTGTGTTATAATACGACTACCACAATGAAGGATTCATTATCTGGCCTGCTCAGCCACCTATCCTCGCGTTTGTCACAGCATGCGCAATGAGTACCTGGACGATGATGATCAAAACTTGGCAGACACTGTGACGACGCATCTAAGTTGCGCGTCTCATGCTGGATACCTGCTTCCCAACGGTGATGCTTTGCCCACTTATAGAACTACTGTTGCAATGATCTTGGCATCATGGTGTATATAAGAGCAGTGTCAAGCCAGTGCAATGCAATGTTTCGATATAACAGATACGAACACAGTAATTGAACATTATTCAGATACGATGATGAAGCTTTTTTCTTTCGTCTTCTTCCTACTACTCAGTGGCTCCACCACTGCGAGTCCTCTCAACGATACAGCTTATGACTATGTTGTCGTTGGCTCAGGACCTGGAGGTGGCACTCTAGCGTAAGGATTTTGCCTCCGACTACCCCCTTATTGCTAATATTTCCCAGCGCAAGCCTTGCACGCGAGGGTCATTCTGTCTTTCTCATTGAGGCTGGAGGCAATATGGGTGATACTAATCTCCAACAAATCCCCGGCTTGTGAGTTTCCGGACCGCTCAATATACAAAGCTATGTGCTTATACTATACAGAGCGGACGTCAACTCGGAACACCCCGCTATGTCTGGGCAGTTTTTCGTGTCTCACTACCAGAACGAGACTCAAGCCCGTCGCGATCGTTACTTCACCTACCGTCTTTCAAATGGCACTCTCTGGTACGGCGTTGATGCCCCCGAGGATGCAACTCCGTGAGTCATGCACCAAACCATTGGTTGGATGAACATTAATCGCCGATTCAGACTGGGCATATACTATCCCAGAGGAGCTACGGTTGGTGGCTCTGCTATAGCGAATGCTATGAATGTGGTTCTACCACCCGACAGCGACTGGAATCACTTCGCCGAGGTTACAGGGGATAAGTCCTGGGGCCCTGAAAATATGAGATTAATGTTCATCGAGCTTGAGAGGAATACCTATACGCCTGAAGGGACGCTAGGTCATGGTTTCGACGGATATGTTTCGGTGAGAGGATCATCAGCCGCAGTGGCAATTCAACTGATAGGAAATAGACGAACAAAAACAACATTTCTTATGTTGTCGATCGTCCGGGCGTGCTTCGTGTGGTTCAGAACGCCATCTCCCAAACCGAAGGCATCGAAGCAGCCGACTCCGAACAAGTCATCGAGCTAATGGAAAGAGACCTGAACCGCCCTGATAGCGATCGCTACGAAGTCCCGGGCCTGTATCAAATACCACTACATATTGACGAGAACCGCCGCAGAAGCAGCCCCTGGAATTACATCACGGATACTTTGGCTTCGAAACGTGAAGATGGAACGCCGCGATACCCGTTGACCTTGAGCACCCACAGCCTCGCGACTCGCATTCTGATGAAGAATGCTGAGGCCGGGCTGAAAGCTTATGGGGTGGATTTCATGGATGGGAAAGGTCTTTATGAGGCAGATCGACGATACGACCCCTCGGTCGAACCCCAAGTGCGCACTGTCAGGGCTAAGAAGGAGATTATCATCTCAGGCGGTGCATTCAACACCCCTCAGCTTCTCAAGCTCAGTGGAATTGGGCCTCGAGAAGAGTTGGAGAGATTCAGCATCCCAGTTGTTGTCGATCTTCCTGCCGTGGTAAGCATGGGCTCCCTTTTAAGAAGTCAAGGTCTCTCTATACTAATGAATCTTCCAGGGCGAGTTCCTGCAGGATAACTACGAGATTGGCATCAACGTTCGTTCAAACATCGCATGGGAGAATAGTCCATTCGCAGAATGCACGCCTGATAGCCCTGAGACAGATCCCTGTCTTGCACAATGGGAAGCCGGCTAGGGTGCATACGGCGAGGCCGCTGCTCCCATTTTCATGCTGCATCGTAGCAACCAGTCCAGGAACGCGGATTGCGACCTCATCATCTTTGGTGCAGCCGGTGGTGTGTTCGACGGTCACTATCCCGGGTTCAGCGAAGTTGCATGGCCGCCAACATCCTTCTTTTGGGCCGTCGTGAAGATGCAAAACGGCAATCCGACGGGCACCGTGAGACTTCGATCGTCTGATCCCCGAGAGGCCCCGGAGATCAACTTCAATTTCTATCAAGAGGACGCCGACGTCGATATTGCTGCTCTTTCCGAGGGCATTGAACGTCTCATGTCCATCATGAACGTCACGGGAGAGCCGTATCAGCCCTTCCAGGTCATCGACCCCCCTGCAGATCGTTCACTTGAGCAACATATCCGAGATCACACTTGGAGCCATCATGCCGCTGGTAGCTGCAGAATGGGCAAGACAAATCTGGACAGTTGTGTTGACTCAAAGTTCCGAGTTCATGGTGTTCAGGGGCTCAGAGTTGTCGATGGCTCAGTCTTTCCGAGAGTGCCCGGCGGGTTCCCTGTTGGTGCGACATACGATGCCAGTCGTAAGGCATTCCACGATATAGTCAACAACGAAGGAAAGTGATAGTGATGCCTATCTTGTCTGTTGTATCTGACTCGGACTGAGCTTTCACAACGATATGGCTATGGGTGCTCTTTTTGTTCTTCATCCCCGGGAAGTCAATAGAGGATCGTTTTAGGTAACCGCACACACACATCTAGGACTTCGTATGCAGCGTCTCTCTCTTGTTTCAAAAGTTCATCACACCATTGGCTTTTTCATTACTTTAGATTCCACAGGTGATGTTCAATTAGACTCTAGCTCAGTGACAACGCAGTCATCTCGCTCCTAAGGATGGTGTTCAAGCAACTGCTCTGGATAAGAAACATGCTTTATTAAACAAGAATATGATAATAGATGATAATAAGAAGACTGCAGTGACGATAAAAGCAAGCTCCCTCGGTTGAGCACAACCCAGAAGCTCCGTTCCATTATGACAGCATCAAGAAGTGAAACAGAATTGCCCCTTGATTCAAAACAAGCCTATATTTGATCGTTCAAAGGCTAATAGGCAGATCATTTAGTTGAGTTTAAGGCCCTCGTAGCGGTCAATTGTAGTGGTGATGGTTCCGGTGAGCATGCTGGCCTGTACCTGGAGGTCGGTGGCTCTGCTCTGCACGGCAGCGATGAGGGCAAATGCGACAGCCTTGTGGTATAAGAGGGTCAGCCAAACTTTTCCGCATCTTTGAAACTTTGGAGACACCTTGAGGGGGCGGGCGGGAGGGTAAGGCTCACATCGACGACACTTTCGACCTGTCTGAGGACGGCGGCAATGGGCGCTCCGATGAGGGGCAGGGTCGAAAAGAGACCAGCCTTGCCAATGAGCACATTGAGAAGCATCTGATGGATTCGCACGAACTCGCGGAACGCCTCAAAGATGGCGTCGGATTGGGCGCCGGCCGGAACGGGAGGCATTCCCTTCATCTGGGCGAGGGCTAGGGTGACGGTGCTGACAATGTCTACGAAGCCGGTGATGATTTGCTTTGGAGGGGAAGATCGTGTCAGCTCCAGTACTTGGACTACAGTCTATATGCGGCAACAGCCGAGGCTCGACTTACCGGGAAAGGTCCTAGGCCGACGATGAGCAATGGACCACTGACGAGGTCGATCTTTTTCGCGGGGGCGATGAGAGCGTTGGACTTTGTGGTGACCATGTCGATGTTTTGGACGACTTGGGCTGGGGTTGTTTGGCCGAGGACGGAGTCGCTGCAAATTGCCAGAGCGGCGACGGCAAACTTGAGGATGTAGAACTGCATTTTGGTGATGAGGAAGAGGCGAGCTTAGTCGGAAAGGTTGAAGAAGATAGGCGAGGCTGTGTTGAGAAGATGAGATGGTGATGAGAGCTGTGGTGAGTATAGAGATATTGCCGGGAGACGACCAAGTTCTTATACTTGGTTTTGGGCGACAGCTCTATGTTTGGACGCATCTTCAAGTTCACTCAAGACAACTTCAGACTTTGCGTGCTTCTCTTGCCGGTTGAGATCTTGACGCGCTCATGGTTTTTTACTTACACTGCCGTTTTCATGCCAGCAAACTTAGGCACAATATTTGCCAAGCTCCTCCATTAGGAACGATCAGCAACTTCACAGGTATCTTCATCTCGATAGGAAATTTTGATTCCAGGCTAATTTTCCGTAGTCATCTTGGCAAGTAAAGGTTAAGAATCACGGGCTTGAGCGAAAGAGCTTCAATTACGAGCCATCATCAAATGTTGCCAAGACACCTAGTATGTGTGTAATCAGAGACATTTAAGATCCGAGACAACCAGATCACCCAAGTTCTTTAGCTCAAGAAAGTTGCCTCCTAAATAGGCAACATCTCAAAGTTCAAAGTGCTCCCTTCCGGATTCTTCAAAGTGGATATTTTCCAGTAACCCAAATCAAAGCCGGCACCGCGGTGGAGCGAGCAAGTCGGGTGTTCAATCTCATAACACCAAGATCTACAACGGTTTCACTCAAAAATCCCGACTAACCTTCCTCCTAGTCCCGCCGAAGACCACCGAGAAACCGCTTCAGGGAACGTCTCGTCAGATGAAGCCCAGTGCAATCTGGATTGGCGTTTAGATAGCGCGGCTAAAGCTTGTGAGAGAGACAACATGAAGACGTAAGTGGCATCTTGGCAGTAGAAGCTCTACCTCTAAGAGCCGGAGCCAACCCACTTTCGGCGATCTTGGAAACTTTACGTGGTGTAAGCATAAGCATTCCCGAACCGTTGTCGTAACTTGGCGTTTGGCATTTGACATTGGCGTGGGCTAGGGCGGAAGCTTGATTAGATCCCGAGGGGGAACTCGATTAGAATGCGGGACAGGCCGCCGTCAGTCGAGTCCCTCTCACTTCAACCTCCGTCGTGTATTATGTCGCCAGCGCCCGTGATCAAGCCATCTCAAAGGGTGGCAGACGGAGATTGGAGACAGAGAGGAAGCCCGTTATCGTTCTGTGAAGACTTTAGTTCAGTCGATGTTTCTTCGGACCTTCAAATCAATACCAACCTACTTCATCCGTCCCCTGGTCCCGTTCCTGAAATTGGCCCGCCAGGTTTCAGAGTCTTCAATCCCAGCCAGAACGGACGTATGCTAGCTTGGCACCGATTTACCGCTTCAGGCTTAACGGTGTTTCTCCGCACGAGATTTTAGATCTCGGGCTGGAGACGTGCCGGGCAGTTAGGGGCATTCCAAGGGCCGCTTGGCAGAACCCCCCCCCCCCCCCCGACTCCAGGGCAGTGGAGAGTGAGACACGCGGTGGAGCCCGCGGCGACGATCTTCCCGATGATTTGCATATCTCGACAACGGCGTCTTGCTACAGTCGGAAGCCGAGGTAGGGAAAGAAACGTTTCTGCGGATTCAGAGAGAAAGTTCTCTTCTTCCCGAGATAAACCACAGTATGGTACCTTTGGCTCAAATACGGCCACTGTGCGAAGAGAAAAGATGCATCTGACGCTAATTCATCCAAGTTTTTGGGCGGCTGGGAGTCCGTCTCATACTTACAGTGGAATATTCGGAAACGGCCTCTGAGGACGATTACCTCAGGTAGGTAAGGTACCTTGGCTCAACTGGCTAACTTGGAGAAACGGTATCCCTTCGAGACTACGGCGACTGCCAGGAGAAAGCAGGTAGTTGTCCATTCATTGTCTCCGAATCCCAAGTTTGAGAGTGGATTGCCGTCTGTGTCACCAGCGAACAGCCATTCCCGCCAGCCTCACTCGCGGTCCGGAAATCGGGCGAGTCGTCGCCGGCGCATCTATAGGACCGTTGAGTCGAAGCATGGACGTCGTCAATGTCTGGCTAAATTTTCACTCCATATCGAAACATTACTGGCAATTTAATAACTGATTCGAAAGTTCGTCGATGAGGCTTGATTCACAAAAAAACGAGAGCGGGCTTGGAGACATCGGGATCCACACTCCCGGTGCCCCGCACCAAAACCCCGATGATGGACCCATTTATCCGGGGATTCAGCGGCTGTGCCCGGGAAACCATCTCACAGGGCCCCGCCGCAGGTTCCACTGGGTCAAAGACCACACACTTCCCGGGAAACTACTTCCCCAGATTCTCACCCTCCCCTGCCACCATTACAACTCAGAGGATGACGTCCAATCCTACTACACCACACCACCAGCCCCTCCCGCAATTGACAACCACACTATGTGACTATTTACCGCACCACACCGCTCGCCGCCGGCCAAGAGCCACAGGGTCACATTGGGCATCCCCGACACGAGGTGACATCGCTCCGATCGACGGCCAACACATAAACAATGCGAGCAATGCAACGAGGTCCGGGGGTTGAGGGGGAAATCCAGCAAATCGTCACCATCCAGTCATTCTCACCAGCGGATAGTCATGTTTTCTTTGCTTACGAAAATGAGATGTGCTACATTATATCGATAAGGCTCATATAGCCTCCTCTGCATCATCAAGGCCTCCTCTGTAAACCAGACTGTCTATGTACATGAAGTGAACTTTAGGTCTGCTGCAGTTAGAGTTGCTTACTTTCTGAGAGAATTTTGCATAACCTTTTGCTGTCAAATAGGATTACCCTCCATATCCGTTCGCCTAGAATATCATTACTCCAGTAATCTGAATGCCGTGTGTTTCCTCTCATCATTCCAGTCCTTCCTTTTCCTGGTTTATCATCAGTGAGTGTAAGGGGTATATTTGTATATCCGTGCCGTCGTAGCATTGAGCTTGTCGTCAAAATCGTAATGGATCACATCCATTTATTAAAGACCCGTTCGTCCCAGAAGAAACAAATGACTCTATAGTCAGCCGGGCATGAGTGTAGAAAGAAGGTCACCATCGACCTCAGAGAAGTAAAATGAAAGAAGAAAAAGTCCAGAAACAGATGATCCATCTTCCAGGACCAAGTGTCTAGAGGAGCGCAACGGCACCAAAGAGACCAGCCAGCAAGGCAGCCCCCGGCGCTCTGCGGGCGTCGGCGGCAGCGGTAGGCACAACCACCGGAGCCTGGCTCGATACCGTGACCGGGGGAAGGGTCACGGCGCTGGTTGTAGGGAGGACGAGGGTGCTGGCGGGCCGGGTCTGCGTAGCGAACACGGTTCCCGATACGGTGACATAGACCCATGACTTCTGCGTCACGACACTCTCGCCTCCCACGGTCACGGCCTGGGTGACCTCGACGTGTGCCGTCTTGGTCTCAACGATGACTTCAGTGAGGGTGTGGACCTTTTCGACGGTAATGGTCTTGGTGCCTGTGGCGGTGACCCAAACCGTCTCTCCGTGCTCAATGGTCTGATATGTCGTGACGGGTTTTGTAATGGTCTCATAGACTTCCGTAGAAAGGTGTTGAGTGGTTTTTACGGTCGTCCAGACGTCCACTTTGGTGGGAACTTCCGTAACGATTGTAGAGGTGGAAGTGTAAGTGACAACTACGGTCTCTCCGCCAATAGTCTTTGTCTCGGTCTAGCCATTTTGTTAGCTCGGGAAGGCTTGGCTGAGGGAGGGGGTTCTGAAGACTCACCACAGGGCAAAGAGAAGTGATGGTGGTGTACTCGACGTCCTTCTCCGT